CATAGCTGTATATGCAAAGACATCTGGCTTACACGATTTCTCCCTCATTCTCCTCAAAAGCTTCAGCATTTTCCTCTATCCACCCTGTCTTACAGAGCCCTTTTACCACAATCATAAATGTAATGTCCTCTTTAGCTAGACCCTCCCCTTTTAAATCTTCCTACACTGAAAATGCTAAATCTAAATATCCATTTTTCACCAAGGCATCCATTATCCTATTATATAGAAAACTCGCGGCTTTATTCCATATTTCTTCATCTTTTCATACACATAATAAGCCACGAGTCCTCTATTCTGATTAGCATGAATTCCAATTTAGAATCTCGAATTGCTTTTCACTCGGGGGCTTGCCTTGGGGATACATTAATTCCGGCAACTGATCAGCAGCCCGGTAAAGGCCCATTCTGTTGAGGCAATAAGCGAAAGCATTGTAAGAAGCAAAATTATGCTTAAATCCTTTCTGCTTATCTGCCCAGTGGAAGAACTTGGAAGCAAGGGCAGGGTTGTTTTGAACTTGCAGCACTTCCGCGACGAGAATAGATGTAACGCGGCGGAGGCTTTTGAGCTCGGCGATGACGGCCGAGTTCCGTTTCCTCCAGAAGGCATCGAGAGTGAAGCGTGAGATGGGTGAAATTTTGGGTTTTGGTCAGGCATGTGAACAGACGGAGGTGATGCGGATTCGGAGAGGTGGTGTGGATCCCATTTACGGGGTCGAAGGGTTGAGAGTCAGGTGGACGAGTTTGGGGGTCATTGAGAGTCTGGCGGTTGGAGAAGAGGCAAAGGTGCACTACAGGGCGGTTTTGAGACGGCTTCCGGTGGCCGTAGAAGAAGTAGGGCTTTGTGCCTGCGGTTCTCGCCTCCCTGTCCCTGCCCTGTGATTCTTTCGCCGACTTAATTTGCAGGCAAGAAAGAAGATGAAAAAAACGACGTCATGTAACATTAATAAGCCAAACGGCCTTCCCCCACCCCCCCTTTTTTTCAATTATAATTTTCCAGTGAAATGCATAATAATAAAATAATAATAATAATGTAACGAAAATTACAAAAAGAAAAAAAGTACTTCTTACTATAAAATAAGAAGAAAAATGGCAAGATGACAAATGAAAGGAGAGAGTTTCTTATTTCATCAAGTATTCTTCCATCTACCAACATACAAATT